AACTGATGTATGTTTGATCTCGCTTTGCACCCCATTATTATATATATATATATATAATATATATATATATATATACAAACAACAGGGTAGTACGTACGGTGTATAACTAATCAAAAGCTTTTTGTTCCGACGCAGCAGACAATTAAAGCAGCACAATGCGATCCAAACGCTAATTTCTCCAGGTATAGACTAGAAATACTTCGTTGTCATGAAATAATCACACTACCGTGTATGACAAAATAAGCTCTAGGTTGCTCCAGTTTCAATCGCGTTTGTTAAAACACAGAATGGTGAGAAATGGCATTCTCGCGCAAAACGCGACTGTTGCAAACAATTTGCCTCGATAAGTGGTTGTAGGTGACGTACATGTTTTTATTTTGCCTACACCGTACGTGTACTGCAGCACCGCTGGCACGGTGGCTTGGGAAACTGTCACAACCATCGGGATTTGACAACATTGAAGAGTTTTTTCAAATACCTTTTATAAGGACACGCGCAGTTGAAATGGGAAGGAACTAGAGTTTAATTTTGTCTAATGGTAGTGTGATTAATCATGACACGAAAGTATGTTGCTGTGCTAGCTACTGGAATATACGAGTTTGGATGCGCATTTTGCGGCTTTTAATAAGCGTTGGCGTGCTTTGGCGGGGCATACGGGATGAGAGGGGGCAGTGTAGGTTAGGTCCCGGGACGCTGGCTCACTGCATGCTTGCTTGGGTGCTTAGTTTTGTGCAAGCGCGTGTCGTGTGCGCCGATGATGTCTTAATGCAGCGATTGATTGCAGCACAATAGATGAACTAAAGACGGTTTCGGTGCTAGACCTGCGCTTGTGCGACCAGCGAGACGGCGCGGGCCCCGGCACAGGGATGATTATTCTCGCATACAGCGCTTATTCGGAATGGGCGTACTTCGTGATGGCGACTGGGGGAGATTCTTCTATGATTTATGACCGTTGGCGTATGTCTCTACTCAGCTGCCTGTGCACGCTTAGGCGCCAAATACGACACACATGGCGTGCACTTTGGGCACAGGCTGGGGAGAGGATGAAGAGCCAATGTGCGTGAAGTAAGAGAACACACACAGTGAACCACGACGCATGCGCCACGAGCGGAGAGATGTTTGCCTCATCGACACTACCTCGGATGTCTCGCTCTCTTTCTACGATACTATTTATATGTAATGGCTCGACGACTAGCCGGTTGGCCTCGGTGGCCGGGGCCACCAAAACTTGATGTCGGGCCACAAAATTCCAAAAGGTTAAATTGGTGCGCCGGATCGGGCATAAGTTTCAAGTGTCTATGTGATTAAAAATAATTGTTTTCTTATCGTGCTAATCTCATTTCCAAAAGAGCGAGCAATTTCGCGTGGTTGGCGAGGGCCACGGTTAGCAGTGCAGCTTCTTACCGCGGGCATACCGGGTGCACGTTTATCGATCGGCTCTACTGTGGTGCAACAAGCCAGTTATTGTGATTTAGACTGGTATCCGGCCTCACGCTCTGCAACGAACAGTGCGGCCGCGAAACGTCTAGCAGGAATGGTCAAAATCTGGCGGTGCGCAGCAATAGATATTTTGCAAGCGCAAGCATTACAATGTGATTACATTGTATCAGCGAACAGACAATGTGTCTAGACATCGCCTGTCTTGCAGTGTTCTGTGGAGGAGTATGTTAATGACGCGATGCGGATGAGAAGGTTTCGAAGGAACATTGTTATAATAAAAAAATGATGAAATTTCTTCCTTTTTGATGTATTTTGTTCAAAATTGTTAAAAATAAGGGAACACACATGCGTACCGGGAAGGGTCGGTTACGGGACGGACACATGGGTCAAAATCGAGACGTCTTTGGTCACCCTGATTGCTACAGCTACAGAAGAATTCAGCAAAGTCTTGGCAGAGGCTGCAGGGCAGTGGATTGCAACAGTATTCAGTCTCAGAAGGTTGACGACAGAGGCTTGGAAAACATCTTCAGCATATATAGATTGAAGATGAAGGAAGACCCATCATCCTTCATGGCACCATGAAGCGGTTAGATCGAGAATGAAGAGAGGAGTTTGATACTAGCAGGTATTTTATATGTCCATGTATAAAGTGTTAGATTTACCCTTTATTGTTTGCATTAGGTATTGATGGGGCGGATCAAACATAGTGTATCTTAATTTTTAAGCATACTATTATTTTGCAACTTGTTTGGAGTTGGCAAAAACTTTCATTATTTAAAGTAAGATCAACATGTAGAGCAAAGAGATTATTTGTATTGTATACGTATAGATTATCTAGGATGTAAATTAGATTATCACTAATCAAAATTTATTGATCTTGAGAATTTAAATGGCTTTTAATTAAATAAATTTTGCCAGTCTGATATTCAAATTTGTTTTTTTAAACTTCTAAATCTGTTTTCTTTCGTTTCTATTTTAATAAAGGTTGATATGATACCAAGTTTGCTGAGCACATCTGAGGAGACGCTTCGCCTCCATGAAGCAGGATTTTGATCCATGCTGCAACATTCTACTCCTTGGACAACCTCACAGTGGCATCGAAAGGAGGGAATTGGCCACTACGGCAACACTTCTGTTGATAAACATGTCGACTTAGGACTCTCATCAATACAAAGGCTTGCAATTAGAGGAGGTTTATATTACGAATGGCAGGTAACAGGCAAAACTGTTCATGCGTGCAGGACAACAAATACCTATCATCACCTACTCGAACCGAAGCGCCATGACCGTGTGGGCGAGATATCTTCAATGACATCCCGAGTGGCAGGCCAAGTTCCCCAAACTTCATGAACATGTTGTGGAGGTACTCCGTTGTTCTACTCTCTCCACGCGCACATGTGAAAGAGGTTTCACGTTTGCATTGAAACAGGTGAAGATACTGACTGGAGGGCCCTCGCTAACAGTAGAAATGCTGACAAAGCTGATGTTCATGCGTCGCTCAATTGGGCAGCCCCCACGACTTCGTGCAGCTGGAGCAGCTTGGTGGAGCAGCTGAAGGACCCGGCGTCCAGATTACATGGAATGATTAACTATTCCATTGAAGTATGATCAGTATTTTAATCCGACAGTGTAATATTTAGTGCTTTGTAAGTTTATTTATATGCATTTTCTCTGTCTCTTTTACGCAACGAAATATTGAACTTAGGACATGGTCTGGCTTTTCTTTTTAATGGCATGACGTACCCAGGCTACTTTTGTTGATTATAATTATGGTTCTACTTTATGCTTATTAAATCTGCAATATTTTATTTTTACAGTTTCAAGGCCTGCCAGACATTTTACTTTCGCTTGAGATTAAATGTAATATGGTTTTATTTTAACATGAAAAGCCAATGTGTTGTTTGTGTTTATTACGTTACTTGTTTTAATATTTGGCATGCTCTGTGACTTTGAGTCTTCTTGAACTCTGAATGTCAGATGGCATGTGCAGCGCGCGTGTTTAGAATAAATAATGAGTGAAAGTAGAAAAATTTGGTATGGCCGATTCATTGTGAAAATTTGATCGCCTGGAAATGGATAATTCAAATTGTGATGCTCAATGCAATCATGTAAGTGTTGTGGCCATTGGTGTGGTTTTTTTTTAAATGACTTGTGCAAGTGGCATCAGACGCGCAATTTTTAATAATATACAATACGACATTGAAATAAAGATTTTAATGTTTTTCTTTGTGTTGTTTTTTTCGGGCCACCAATTTCATTTTGGGCACCAAAAATTGGAAATCAATGTTTTGGTGGGCGCGATCGGGCACTGAAAAAAGTTAGTGTCGAGGCCTTGTTTTATTTATATATATATAATATATATTATATATATATATATATGTGTTGTGTGTGTGTGTGCTGCGTGCGTGCGTGCGTGCGTGCATGCGTGCATGGTGTGTGTGTGTGTGAGAGAGAGAGAGAGAGCGCGATGAGGAGCAGGCAGGATTCCTCATTTTTTCTTTATAAGCCGTCTTCGGCTCAGTCCTGGGAATGCGGCAACATCAAAAGCTATCGCGTGTCACCGCCTACTCGCGTAGCGCGCAAGCACTCCACTAGCCCATCGCTGGCGATGAAGATAGCTGATCGATCACATCAGCTGACCGATCAGATTAGCTAATCGATCATCGGACTGTCGATGCGCTTACATTCGCTTCCGTAAGCTGTCCCCCACCCTGCTTAATCTCTCGCCGCATGGTCTATTATGACCTATACCTGCATGCTCCCCGCCGGGAAGTCCGCCGACGCCGGACACAGGAGTTTACGCTCGACACAACGATTAATGGGTTTCGCTTGTTTCCAGGGACGCGCACGGTAAGCGGGTAGTAATCGTTGTCCGCGCGGCAAGCGGGCAGGTTGGTCGCATCGGCCCGCCTGTTGACGGCAGGACAATGGCGACGCTACTTCGGCGCGGGCGGTGCCGTCAAAGCGAGCATTGACGGCTCACGGAGCCACCGCGGATACAAGACGGGGATTAGCGAGTAACTGTCACAAACAGTAGTTAGTCGCAGACGAACTGATGCGTGCATAAATACTGTCGGCTTGGCGTATTGCGATGATAGATGGCACTCAACCTCTCCACCCACATGACCTCTAGCGTAACTGGCATGGCTCAATGATAGAGAGCATGTCCAGTAATAAACATCATCTCTATCCTTGAACCCATGCGTGTCCTGTACTCTAGCAGTGGGACATGACTAGTACACGATATGGCCACGAGCATCGAATATTCCGGGGCACGACGTGACAATTACTATTAGTATTAGTGATGGGGATGAACACGAATATATTTAGTACACACAAGTTCATATAGCAACGATATAATCCTCGTCGCCGAACAGAAAATGCGCTGCACAAGCTGCGCATATCGCAACATGAAGACCTGCAGACGTCAAACGCCTATATAATAGTTAGTAGTAATCATAGTAACTATTAATTAAAAGATGCTCCATTCCGCCGATCAGGTATCTTACCATCAGCACAAACCACATTTACAATAAAAAACAAGTAGTCTATCAACTTACCTGTTCACGGACTTCAATCGCAACAAAAATGTTCCGTTGGTAAACAACGCTAGCAAATCGTAGTTGCGGTCTGTACTCTTATACTGCGTCTGTATCCTTAATTAATGTCCTAACTAACTCCTGCACATCCTGTGCTGAGTTAGCTGTTCTGTTTGTTTCTGTTTGGAGCCAGGGAACAACGCGTGCGTACACCGTCACCAGTCCTGCTGGTACTGCGGGATTAGGCTGATAGCCTGATGGGCACTACTACACTACCACTATACTATCTGCAGCAGTTATTCAGCGCGCTCGCATGCCGCTTGCGGCCGTGCAGCGATAACAGGAAAGATTATAGGTTACACTAATGATCTAGCAGCGACATCTATTGCCAAAATAAAATGATAAAGCAAGATGTATCGGTTGGTTGCACTATGGAAGCTCTAAAACGACCGACATACGACTTTTTGAGTTTTCGAGTTTTTGAGTTTCTGAGTTTCTAAGTTTCATCTGCGCTTACTTTTTCATATATTTTATTATTTTATATGTCCGATGTGAAACAAAGAAAAGCAATAATAGGCATAGTAGGGATTTTTTTTTACAAATGACCCCCTTGGAAGCTTATTGGATAGCCTCCAGTCACAAGAAACAGAGATCCGTTTACAGAATAAAAACATTCCACTTCTGCGACGAGTTACGGGGCATTTTTGTGACGAAATTTTGACCCATTTTGGGAAATTCTTAACTATAGGAAGGTATAAAACGGGATATTTTTGGAGCATTTTTCTCCATTTTTTGTGACTTAATTAGTCATATTTTTAACATTTCTCAACCTGAGGTATGTTCATAGTACGGGTAATTAGTAGCCGTAATTTGACCTCTCGGTGACGCCTACGTAATAACCTATCATCTACATTTCTCAATCAATCACTTGGATATTTCATATGTACATTCACATCAAAGGTAATTAGTAGCCGTAATTTCACCTTTGGATGACCACTAGAAGATGACCTATGACGTCATCAAATTGCATTTTAGCGCATTTCAGTGACGTTATTAGACATATCGTCGACATTTCTCAATCAATTACTTTGTTATTTCAGATGTGGACACAATAATATTTTGTTGCAAAATTAAAGGACAATTGAAGTCAAATTTTATAACTTCTGTAACGTTTTTATACATAGAAATACATTCAATAACGTATTCCATTTCAAATCCGGCGCCCAATTAGTAAGAAACACATGAATATTAATCTAGGTCATGTGACGTCATAGCCCCATGTTGAAACACGCCATTATATAGCGTAACAGTGCTAACACGCTAGTATATGTTATGCTAGGTGAAAGTATTGTTACAGCATACAACAAACATGTAGCCTGTAAATGTACTTATATTCATGTACATACATATTACACTCACTGCATGCAGTTTGGCACCGAAACAGCGCTCGCGCATGCGCAATATCTCCCGAAAAGAATATTATTTTGCAAAAATTATGAATTTAAAATGAAGAAGGGTTATCCTATCACAAATATATATGAGAAAATTTTATCAGTAGACCTCACTTCAGAAATAGGAAGCAGACCTTGCATGTAAGGTCCCCACTGCATATACCAGTCAGTACATAACCTGGCTACGTTACTGGTTTAGCGCATGCGCAATATCTCACCAGAAGAGCTATCCTTTGTGATGAAAATGCATTTAATATGGTCAGGGGGTATCTCAGCATAGGTTTCTGTAATAAATTCTTATCCGTCGACCTGTGTTTATAATTAGGAGAGCGCCCTAGCTTGAAGGGTGCAAAACTCCTACTTCATTCCCACCCGCCCTTTCCCTTGTCTTCATTGTCGCACGCTCAGCATCCTTCTTCTTCCACCGCGCCTCAGCTATCTTCCCTGTCGCCTTCCTTCATTCTCCGACCCCTCTCTCCCTCAGCAAGCTATATTGCGTACATTTATTTAGGCCGTACTGCACGCCTGAAACGGTGCTCGCGCATGCGCAATATTTCCAGAGAAGAATAATATTTTGCAAAAATTATGGATTTAAAATGAAGAGGGCTTATCCTATCATAGATTTATATGGGGAAACGTTATCAGTAGACCTCATTTCAAAAATAGGAAGCAAACCTTGCATGTAAGGTCCCCGCTGAATATACCAATTAGTACATGACCTGGCTACGTTACTGCTTTAGCGCATACGCAATATCTCAGCAGAAGAGCTATATTTTGTGAGAAAATGGATTTAGTATGGTCAGGGAGTATCTCAGCATAGGTTTCTGCAATAAATTCTTATCCGTAGCCCTGTGTTTATAATTAGGAGAGCGCCCTAGCCTGTAGGGTGCAAAACTCCTTCTTCATTCCCGCCCACCCTTATTCATAGAGAAAATTGATATAGATTAATATCAACCTCATATTCATATAGACCTCATCTCAAAAATAGAAAGCAGACCTTGCATGTAAGGTTCCCGCTGCAGATACCAATCAGTACATAACCTGGCTACGTTACCGTTTTAGCGCATGCGCAATATCTGACCAGAGGAGTTATATTTTTTTAGGAAAAGGCATTTAGTATGGTCAGGGGCTATCTCAGCATAGCTTTCTGTAATATATACTTATCCGTAGCCCTGTGTTTATAATTAGGAGAGCGCCCTAGCCTGTATGGTGCAAAACTATTACTTCATTCCCACCCGCCCCTTTCTCTTGTCTTACTCGTCGCACACTCAGCCTCCTTCTCCTTCCACTGCCCCTCGACTGTCTTTCCTGCCACCTTCCCTCGGTTTTCTTCCCCTCTCTCCCTCAGCAAGCTATATTACGTACTTTTATTTAGGCCGTACTATAAGCTTAAAACGTTGCTCGCGCATGCGCAATATCTCCCGAGAAGAAGAATATTTTGTAAACATTATCAATTTTTAATGAAGAGGGGTTATACTAACATAGATTTGTATGATAAAATTTTATCAGTAGACCTCACTTCAGAAATAAGAAGCAGACCTTGCATGTAAGGTCCCCACTGCATATACCAGTCACTACATAACCTGGCTACGTTCCTGTTTTAGCGCATGCGCAATATCTCATCAGAAGAGCTATATTTTGTGATGAAAATGAATTTAATATGGTCAGGGGGTATCTCAGCATAGGTTCAGGAGAGCTATATTTTGTGATGAAAATGAATTTAATATGGTCAGGGGGTATCTCAGCATAGGTTCAGGAGAGCTATATTTTGTGATGAAAATGCATTTAGTATGGTCAGGGGGTATCTCAGCATAGGTTTCTGTAATAAATTCTTATCCGTTATAAAGTGTTGAGAGAGTCGTAGAAACTGTTTGAAGTCCAGAAATGAACACACTGCGCATGTTATTCCGTGACATTAAAGTCAGTTTAAATTTAGAATCGCCTACCGTGAGATTAAATGTGTTATTTAGCGGAAAAATACAATTTTAATTTAGAATCCCCTACCGTGAGAGTAATTGTGTGTTGTTTTAAGCGGGAAATTACAATTTAAATTTAGAATCTCCTACCATGAGAGTAAATATCTGTGCCTTTTTAAGCAAGATAACATAATTCAAATCTAGAATCTCCTACCATGAGAGTAAATATGTGTGCCTTTTTAAGCGAGATAGCATAATTTAAATTTAGAATCCCCTATACCGTGAGAGTAAATAACGTACTACCGTACAGTAAGCTATTAAGCGGGAAAGCATATAGGGCCTGATTTAAATTTAGAATCTCCGTCATAACGCATGCACAGTGTGTCTGTTTTCGAATTAAAAACATTTATCAATGCGTGATCTCACGTGTTTACATTCTTCCCTGTGTGACCCTTGCTTGATCCCCATCTCTAGTACTATATACGATACGAAATTCAGAAACTCGAAAACTCAGTCGTATTTCGTTTCAGGGCTTCCATACACTTGCCTGGTTTCCAGCATATTATTGGCGCCATCTGTCGTATATTTATGACCTACAATTGACCACACCTAATATATCTTGTTACACTATATTTCACTACATTCGTGTAAGTGTGCTGATGAAAATATTTATGTACATACCATGTGTCATTAGACACACGTCATAGCAATTCTGCTATTTAAGCTTTCTGTGTATGAATTTTGTCCATTATATAGTATGAAGAGGATAAGAGAACGTGAAAAAGAACTGAACGTGACTGTGATTGATTATATTTCATTTTATTCTAATTGTTTTCAAAAGTTGTAGCATTCATTACACGCTACATCACTAATATAATCAGTGCAACTATAATATATGAGAAAGCTTTATAAAAAGTAAACTATTTACACACTTATATATGATGATCCCATATATATTTTTTTTTTCTACACTTTTAACCATGCTACAATAGTGAATACTGCAATAAGTGCTTTTACCTATAAATTTCAATGACGTTTCTAATATACATACCGTCACCGTGTATATAAATATATATATGGGTGTGTGTGTGTGCCTGCTGTGTGTTGTGTGTGTGTGGCCTGTGTAGTGCATCTAGGTGGATATTCTGTTTTATTAAAAGCTTGATTAAAAATTTAAAGAAAGTTAGATATTAACCTTCCCCACTCCATTCAGACTGATCACAATGTATGCAGTTGCCTACCATGACGTATATAAATGTTAAAACATACATACTCACGCATGCACAAGCGATAAACATCATGAGTTTATGATATCCGTAAACAGAGTTCAAATACATAGAACATGATAAGTTGATATCAAGTTCTATCTATAATAAATGAAGTTTATGCAGGGTGCAACATTCATAGTTCTATGATCAGAGATTTACAGTGTTTGTGTGAATGTGTATTTATATATATATATATATATATATATACATATATATACATATACGCCAGTAGTGAATAAAAACACACATTAGTTTTATTCACCCCTGCTATGCATGATCTCTGTATACAGAGGCGTCATTACTCACGTGTCTGTGGTTGGCACCTGTGGACAAATATGGCGACATCTTTTTATCGCTATGAGGATGAGTTCCTGGATTAAATCGATGGCTTCGGCTAATGCTAACGCTGATGCTAATTACCTTGGAGAGGCCAAGGTAAAAGGTAAAAAGTAAAAGCCGAACGTGCCGCCCAGGTCCGAGATCAAATCGTTTAAGCGATACGCCTAGTATATATATAGATTAGATTATATAGATAGTATACTACTATAGACTAGTATACTATAGATTTCCTTAAAAGCTATGTAGGTCATAAGCATGCATTATGGCTGCCATCACTTGTATTGGGAAATTACTGCAAGACAAGGCAGCACTGTCAAAGAGATGCTTGGGTTCCAACGAGTGAGTTGCTGTTGCATGTGATACTCAGATGCCCTCTTTAGTTCAACGTATTTTGGTTATTTGGTCACATCTGTGTCTTGTCATTCAAGTGTTGTGTCACAGCTGCTATTCCCATCATGTTGAATCTCCTGTCCCTTTTCTGGGCTTCAGGGTCTTGTCCGGTCCAGTCTAGTCCCATCAAGGCCGACAACAACTGCCTTTTTCATGCTTTCTAGTGAGCAGCACTATCACTGCCCACAGGACACTGCACCGCAATGGGAAGTACTGCTCCCTTAGTGTGCGCTTTCCTGGGAAGTAAGCCGGGATGACTCGCATCTGTAGTGACAATTTTGGCTGCTTGAAGATTCTCTCTTCTGGCGAGAGGCGGTCTCTTCGCGCTGCTGAGCGTGCGCGTGACTGCTCGTCCCGCAGCGTGAGGATTCTCGCATGCCAGCCCGCGGCTATGGCCGCCATCGCACGGCTGACCGCCGCTTGGACGACAGCCACTCGGCGTCGGCTGGGGGTCCGAGACGTGACCGCTCCAGTCTAGGACCTCAAACACCGCAGGTGCTGGTGCAGCTTCATCGTTAGTGGCCACTGCCGGCCGATGTCCATCTAAGGTGACCGCGAAGCCTCCATCCGTGTACACTCCTGCCTGAAACGTAGTAACGAGTTTTGTGTTTTGCAGCGGGGGATTATCGACGCCATTTTTGTCATCGGAGCGATGTCGACACTCCGCAGTCGAGTCGCACTGCTCAGCGACAGGCCGGCACGTCGCGTCGCTGTCACGTGACAGCTCGGCACGCGTCGATGGTTCGTTCGTCGAGGCGCGGCAACTTTTGTTAGATCGTGGTTTTCGTCGTTGCTTGCGTTTACTCTTCCTCGTCGTTCTAGAGCGCGTCTTTGTTTCGGCACGACAGGACCGCTCGCTGGCGACAGCATCTGAAGTCATGGACACCACCTCGCCCCTCACACACTCACTGGAGCCTTCAGTCTTAAGAAGGAGATCACCGTGTATACCACCGTCACGTGCGGGGCTTCGCATGGGCACACCCTCCCCAGCACCAGGGACAAGCGTGTTTGCATCTGCTGACCCTGCAACGAGAGCTGCGGGAGTCTCTTCCAAGAGATGCGATTCGTCAATGGTTGGCAGCGGTGTGTCGCGCTGTGTGCCGGACGTTCGCTTGCTTATAAAGCGATCCATGCATTCGTTCCACGCATCCGAATCGTCCGACGACTCGCCGAAGTTGAGGGTGAGAATTTCCAATAGGTCTTCCCCATCCTCTCCAGCCGACTGCTCGTTGGCGACACCTGGTGTTCGTTCCTGTTGCAAATTACCGTTCGACGAGACCAGTAAAGTAAGCTTATCAACAGGGGATCGATCATTTTCTACGTGCTGAGCAGTGTTTATTGTGGTCAGTACTTGGCCCGGCATAGGTTCAGCTTTCGTTTTGACACACCCAAGAACACTGTGAGAGATATCCATCGGTTCAGTTGAAAACTGGGTTGATGCATCAGCTCCTGGGTTCAATTCACATGAAGGGAAGCCGCAGTGCACAACCATGGGAACGACATCATTCTCGAGTATATGAATTCTAGAATGCACGTCTAGTCCCAACCTCTGCCTACCCATGTCATTGCTGCAATCTGACTTTCTCTCTTGCACGACTGACTTTACGATGTCAATTGGAAACTGAACATTCTCCGAGTCAGGAACACTCATGCGGACAACATCAGCACTGGCTTGTGTGAAAGTTTCAGGAAAAATTGGCGAGTAAGAACTCTCGAACACAATTTCTGATTTAGAGTCAGGAGTATTGACGTCTGTTTTACTATAGCATACTGGGCTAGCACGAACAAATTGTGTGCTTGGGTCCACAGCAAAAGTTTGTGATACAGGATCTGCCGGCAAACTTTCAGTTTCAGAACCATGCTCAGTAATGATAGCATTGCCTTCACCAGTCTGCACGCTCGGCTCTTTAGCAGGAATTGGTGAAAAATGACCAGCTAGCAGAGCCGTGGTTTCTGAATCATGCACACTGACGTCATCACAATCAGCAACATCATTTGTAGTCAAGGTTTCAGAAAAAATTGGTGACTGAGAACTCGCTAACACAATTTCTGGTTTAGAGTCCATTATATTGGGGTCCACTCCACTAGACTCCATTTGGCTAGATATGGACCTATGGAGTATTGCAACGTCGTCACAAATGACAGGCTTCCCAGTTGAATTTTCGCTGCATTCACCCTTAGCATATTGACTTGTGTTCGCCCAACTGCTAACTTCTGTCGTACATCCCTGGTCTTCCGGGCGATCCCTGCTCGCGGAACAGATTTTTCCCGGCTGCTGCACACCTGCTGAAGCCAGTACCCTCTTCCCTCCTGGGTACGTATCGCTGAGAAGGTAATGATCGTTCAGCTGGCTCCGGCCCGCCGGCCGCCACTTACTGCCTAGGGCATCTCTGTGGGTGCATGCGATGGCCGAATGCTCTCCGCTGACTTCGTCGGCCGCACAGCCGGTAACGACAGCTCTCGACGCGCCCCGATGACTCCTCGCGGCCGCGGGCGACGGCGTCAGGCGACTTCTAGGTGACGAGATGGGGCGTCTACGTTGTCTCGCTCGACGGATCGGCGACGTCGCAGCGAGGCACTGTGACGACGACGACGCGTCCACCATGGGTGTGGTCAAGTCCGACTCCGTCGCGACAACGGCTGAGAGCGCTCCGCAGGCGTCTGGCGGTCGAGACACGAGTAACTCGGTTACGCTGCCGTTATTCTCTGCGCAGGAGCAATCGTCGTTATTCCTCAAGACTCGGTCACCGGCAGAGGCGTTGCAGTGTGAAGCATTCACCAATGGCAGGGACGTCTGCATGTTGCCTGCGGATGCTACCGGTTCGATGACATTACTAGATTCCCGCTCATCGAGACGTGCACCTACAACAATTGCGCCAGTCTTCTGCGCGAGTCGTGGAGAGCAACGCAGCTTCGGTAACCATGAGGAGCTCACTTCCCCCGCCTGCGCACATACAGTCGATGCGCCGTTGTGAGCCACAGGTGAGCCGCCTTCATATGCATCGCAAGGCTGCCCACTGACTGTGCTCTTGAGATCTTTTGCGGGTGGAATGCCCAACTCTGCTTCCTCCCCATCGTCGACTCTCGTCGCCTCCGAGTTCTTTCTCTTCTGTAGGACGCCAGGTTTCGTCACTCCGGGTGAACTCCTCACCTCGCCACATCTCAACGCTGCACGCCACCTCTCCTTCCCCTCGCCGCCATCCGCAAGTCGCTTCGGCGAGTTACGCGCCAGTGACGACCCGCGGCTGCCGGCGTCTCCGCCGATGCTCCGAGGAGAGCTTCGCAATGTCGGGCTTCCCCTCTCGGTGCTCAGTGTCTTACCTACGTTCTCGACGTAGAGGCGTCTGCAAGTCGACATCGCAGGTGAGGCTGTGGCCTTTTCGGTCGGTTTCGGCGACCTGGCCAGTCGAAGGCGGGGCAGGTCGAAGCCCACGTCCCTCTTTTCCGCGTCGTCTTTGTCGGAACGAACCTTTCGTGCGGTGGCGTTCTTGGGATTCGTGCTGTCTCTCGGTGCTGGTCGGTCAAAGCGACGAACGGCGGCGCCACCTACTTGTGACGCATCGTTGTCTGCGTATCTGTGACAGCTTTTTCTACTGGTCTTACTAGGTGAACTTCCATGTGAAGCATATTCCTGCGTGCAAGCACTGCCGGAAATGCTCAACGGTTTTCTCGATGGCCGCTTTCTTGGCGACTGTTTCCTTGGCGACAGTTTTCTTGGCGACAATTCTTTCCACAACCGTTTCCTTGCCGGCCGTTTGATTGGTGATGCTTCATGCGGCGACTGCTCAGGGACAGTGTTCTCCTTATGCACTTTTTGCTCTGAACTTGCTGCTTTGTTTGCAGATTGCCTAGGCGATCTCAGCAGTAATGGTCGTGCTACGACTTCTTCCCTGTGAGAAATAATTATAAGAGAATAATAGTAAGAGTACAATACTAATAGTAATAATATCATTATAGTATAATTAAGTAATAATAAGGGTATAGCATAATTTAGTAATGATAAGAGTATACAAATAATAAAGAAATACTGGTAAGAGAATAGTGTTACTACATTCATAATATGCACACGCAGCATTGTCACAAGGCACATCATGTAATTATTAAACTTGGTAACCTATTGTACTAGAGATAAGTTATGTAAATGAGTAGTTTTTATGTATATTTCTAAACATTTTTAATGTGTTATATGAATATTTCTCCACGAAATCAACAATTACTTGTTAGTAATGGCAACGCTATGCACTGGTCAACCTTCCTCATGCTAGGCACCAATAAACATTATGTATTAATTGGCCCCTCAACATTGCATGAAAACCCTCTCTAGACAATGAAAGCCATGCTGTCTGACGAGGGAAATGTATGATATCACATGAAAATATTCCAGCCTACCTATCAGCTTCTAGCTTAGTAAGAAAGGAGTCCCAGCTATGGGCACTGGCAATGAGTCTGTCCAGATCAGCGTAGTTGGCATGATTGTCGACATATTGCCTGTGTTTCGGGTCCAGTAAGTGCTGTAACGAGTAAATCGGAAAAACCGCTTACAAATGCAACCCAAAGTGATTGCTTGCGCATTAGGTGAGGTCAAGTCTGATTCACTATCACTGGCATGTCAGTTTACCCGTAAACATAGCCACGTACACCCAACCATAGAAACCTAAAAACTTACCTAGGCATAGCATTCATTGTATTGATTTGATGCATGCCGATAACGATTGTTTAATTATCACCTTTTTTGCACTCTGGCAAGCATTGTTTTTCAGCAGTGAAACAGAAACGCATAGCTTATTTTATTCAGGTATATTGTTTCACCTTCTCCAGGCAGTTGTAGTTGAGGCAGCATGACTCACAGTAGCCAGCTTTCCTCGCCCTCAGGTTTCGACGCTGGAATTCTCCTCTAGTTATGAGCTTTCTCAGAGAGCTGAATCAACAAATAAACATACGACACTGAAAGATGACCGCAAACCTACAAATCCGATTAATACAGTAAAAACCCGCGTATAAGAACCTGCATTTTTCCAAGTTAGCCTAAAAAGGTTCTTATATAATTGGTGTTTACTGGGAAATTAGGCTATTTCGGTTGTTAAATAGGTTCTTATTTTCTCAAGAAAAAAAAGTCCATTGTTTATATAAAATATACACGTAATTATGTCTAAATGACTGCAGTCTAGTCAAATACAAACCCTATTCTAGGTTATCTTATTTCTTTTTATGCCCTCTATACCTAATAAACATCAACAAACCAAAACTAGATTGTTTTAAAACACCATAAACATAATGTCAGGCCAGGTTCTTCAGTCATAAGGTATGGTACCAGGCCGAATTTCATAATGTATGCAGTGAATCTGCACTGTACTGTATTTTTGTACATTAGTTGATTTATAAATTTTTAAGTGTTAACTGCATTTTATTAAATAATAACCTGTTTCAAATTTTAGGCTAAAACAGGTTCTTATGTCAAGGGGGTCTAAACGGAAAATGTTAGCCCAACAGGTTCTTAATCACTAGGTTCTTATACGTGGGTTTTTACTCTTACTTCTATGTTCACAAGTTCCACGATCCTGTCACGCCTACATAACAACGGGCCGCGTAATAACAAGACACAACGGGGTCTGTCAGCACGTGGCAGCCGCTCAACTTCGTAATACTTACCCGTCGTTGGCCACGGCTGTTTGCTCAGCAGGTGTCGCTGGCGATGCCCACATATCGTTGGAGGGCTTCGGGACGGATAGGCTCGCGGGGTCGATCGAGCGACACGCGTCGGGTTTCCGCACGTTGAACGCCGACACGCCAGTGCGACTGTCGGCGAGTAGCCGCGGCCATGATGCCAGCTCGGCGTGCACCGGCCTGTAGTGCCTGCTCAAAGACATGCGCAGACGATCGTCATCGGAAATGTGCAAGTGTAATATTCCGTGGTTGTGTAAGTAAATCAACGTTTATTCAACAACGTGAATTCAAACAAAGGTGTAAATCAAGCGATAGCATTCCGTCGCTCTCCACTAAATGGCGCGTTGGTATTCATTATTGTAAAGCAAGTATCACGCACAGTGTATCAGGGTTCTCCAAGCTTTTTCATTATAGCATGGGGGTGCTGCCTTTACGGTACTAGTTGCAAATCGTCGAAGGTGGTTTGCGTGCTAGGGGAGTCCGGGGGCATGCCCCCCGGAAAATGTTTGAATTGTAGAAGCTTTGAGATGCAATCTGGGACACTCTAAACTCATATCACTTCAAAGTTTATTCCGATATAAACACCGTGTATTAATTGTTTGAACTTCTTGTGTATACACCAGCATGGCGGTATAGAGTGACGGGTGCATTTTAGGATGGCGGGGCTCGACGATAGCCTGGCGGGCCGCCAGGCTATAAGTGCTCTTGGAGAAGCCTGTGTATATGTAGTAACAGTGTCACACCTCAACATGATCGAGACTCTGCTCATCACCCCTCAAAGAACAGAAGAGAGACATCTTCGAACATCTACAATAAAATGGTAAAATGTCACTATAACATGACATGCAGACTAACCTGGAGTTGTCCTCAACTTTAATGTAGGGCATCTTAAGGCATCTTCCAGTCGTCTCAACGAGCTTTGCTTTGTCACACTGCACCTATGTACACACAAACAGAAGGGTTGGCCATCATTACCGCATACAGTCATAGTAATTCAGATCATAAGGTCTAGTCTGAAAGTACACAAACTGCTGCAAACAGCTGCTATTAAGGTGCAGACTAGTGTCCACCGACGGTACAATTTTCACATGTTTTGAACCACATTCTCGATTAAAATTGTTTTATTAAGATCGTTTAATACTAGGACGATTCATAATCAATGATCAAAATCACACTACCTGCTTCGTGGAACCAACAAACAGAGTCGGATGATTTGCTTTCACCTTTAGCAACCACCTGTTAATACCTGAATGCCACAGTTAAGAAAACGAAAAAACAATGTACATGACAAAATTATGTCCTCGGATGCAGACCACCCTTAACCGATTCAGCAGGAAAAGAGCTCAATGCTTTTTCTATCACATCACTTAATGATTTTTAACCAATAAACCAAATATATTTTATGGCTTATGACCCTGGTTTCTAATAGCAATTACTTTGATTTTACCCACTATTTTAACATAAATCATTACAACATGCACAGAACTTTGCATGTAACCTAGCTATATGCAGTTGTAACGTAAGGATACAGTCGACATGACGTACTGGAATGCCCCACAGCTGAGCATTGCTTACTACTTTACTTGAGCCTTGAGCCTGAAATGATGGACGTTTTATAAGTTCATTTGCATAAAATAACAATATACAAAGAAATCACAGATGAGTATAACTTTACCATGATTTGTTTTTATTTCAACAGATATTCAGGATCTCCTATTTGTATGCCCTCATGAAACAAAATGAAAAAGAATGAACAGAAATTTGGATATAAAAATATATAATTCTGTTCTGTTCTTGTACTACCAGCATTGGGAACATTTGTTACAGGGTCAAAAATGTTTTGTAGCAAAATGTACACATACAATAAGATAGGAAAATTATAATAATAACACGTAAAAATTATTATCCAGTGAAATTAACCACGCTGAACTATTGTCCTTGTGTCAGAGGTGAAATTATGCTAGAACTAAAGAAGTATATGGCCCACCTCGGAGATGGTGGCTTTCTCTAGCACGGCCTTCCCACGCGTGCAGTGTTGGTTGACGCTGGCTGTCTCCGGAAATGCTGCAGCATCTAGTGGTGATGTTCCCCTGCAGGAGTGACTCAATTAGATCCATGTAGATAGATACAAGACAGACACCTGAGTATGCATCATTGCTGTAAGCTCAGTAATAAAATGTACAGTTTACCTGCTGTAGACCAGTAGCATGTAGACCAGTAATAGCAATGACCAGCACAACGTAAAGTGATGGATACATAATTATATATTGTAGTGTGACCCGGAATATTCAATTTTATGACATTTCTGTAGCAAATTTCTTTCAGATTTATTATCGTTTATAAACGAAGAAGTAGTTGGTTCAAGTCTAAGCAATTCGCTTAGACGATAGCTGGACTAGCCTGCCTGTCTCATCTAACCTTGTGGACAACACTCTTACTTGAATCCGAAGGGACTCGGGCGGGAACAGTTGCTGAGAGAGGAGCTACTTCTGATCTCTTTTGCCTCCACCCTGTTAGTAATAAGATAACAGACTTCCTTGCTGAAAAACTTGTCAATTACCTGAAAAATAAAAATATATACAGGGTGCGAAATTAACGGGAGTCCGGAGTCAAATACTCCCTGATTTACTGTCGGACTCCCTGATCTGAAATATGCAGGAGTCCATCATGTGACTCCCTGAAAATTCTGCCATACTGACTAGTTCGTTCCAGAGCACAGCCTCGCGGAATTACCGTATTTTTCCAGCTAATGTCCAAAGAAAATTTGGCAGACATGCAACCGCATTAATCTTCAAAATGAGCCCATGTATGCGTTATTGTTAATATCTTTTTAATTTTTAACTTCAGACTGCGGACTGTCATTTTGCTGCCTCTTTTTGAGGGTAGGGAGTCCGTTGGACTCCCGTGTTCAAAAGTTAATTTCTACCCCTGATATATGTACTTCTGTACTTATAATAACCATATCGAACAGCCTTGTATATCAGCAGGTGCTCTTCGATAGATGGAGAGATGGATGGATGGATGGATGGAAGGATGGATAGATAGATAGAAAGACAGACAGGGAAGTAGGTAGGTAGGCAGGATAGCAGGCGGGCAAGAGGACACGCAGGCTGGCAGGCCGGCAGGAAACCAGTCAGGTGGCTGGGTAGGTAAGTAGGTAGCTACATAGGTAGATAGGTAAGTTGTAAAAAGTTTGGAGTATTTAACACTGGACTCGTGTTAATTTCAACACCTATAATAGAAATAAAGGTGAAAAATCTGTGATACTTACAGCACCAAGAATAGAAAGATCTTTTTCTAGGTCTGCGATCCTCTTTCTTCCATATCCTATCAGATCCAGATAGAAAGACCTTCCGTATAGTGGTCGGTATACTGGAATTGGCGACGCCATGTAGCCTGCTTTAGTCAGGAACAGTGGAATGTTTCTAAAAGTGAGGGAAGGCAAACATAACAAGTGCCGCATAGCGACAGCGCTCATCTAACGTCTACTGCGGTGACTCTGTGGTGGAAAGTCAGCAGCAGCTCGCCTTAGGGCGTCCAGTCAGCAGCAGCTCGCCTTAGGGCGTCCCGTCAGCAGCAGCCAGCAGCGAGCCAGCTGTTATACACATGTACGCTCGCGGAGGTATGCACTCTTTTTGAGTGCCCTCTGTCTAGTTACGTACGTGTGATGAGTGCGTAGATCTGACTGTTTGTGCGTGGGTGTTTATCTCTATCTTTCTGTCTGCCTGTCCGTCTGTCCGTCCGTCCGTCCGTCCGTCCGTCCGTCCGTCCGTGCGTGCGTGCGTGCGTTGGTGTGTGCGTGTATTTGCACTTGCACGCACGTGTATGCGTTACCTGAGTTGTGCGTGCCACCTAGAGTGTGTTTGCCTACGGGTGCATGTTTACCTACGGGTGTTGCCTACATGTTTGCCTACGGGTGTTTGCCTACGGGTGATTGTACGCCAAGGTAAAATCGTGTGCCCAGCCAATTCCATTTGGACCACCATATAGTGCGTAAGCCACTAAAGTTACGTCGCTGTACTCTGCATGTGATCGGCATCAATAACGAGATGAAGTTAAATGCAGTTTTTCACTATATAGAAACGCTGGAACAAGATCTACACGGCCAGCTCCTTAATTACTCGTATAACGGTTGTGTGCGGACAGGCACTCGTAGACAAAGGAAGATCAAATATACTGAATATTGCAACTACAATGACACTTGAAACCTCTGTCCGTTCGTCAACAGGTGTGCATGTGTGTGCGTGCGTGCCTGCGCGCGCGCGCGCGTGTGTGTGTGTGTGTATCTGTGTATGCGTGTCTGCAGGCGGACGTGTATGCGTGTACGGGTGTGCGTGCGTGCGTGTGTGCGCCCGCTTGTGCATGTACGTGTGTGTGTGTGTTTGTGCGTGTGTACAACACACAAGTGCGCGTGCGCTTGCGTTTGCGTGTGTATGCATGTGTGTGTGCACGCATATGTGCGTGTATGTGTGCACGCTTGTGTGCGTGTGTGCGTGCATGCGTGCGTGTCTTTGGCCGTGCACGTGTGTGCTCGGGCGCGCGCGTGTGCGTGTGTGCGCGTGTGTGCGTCCGTGCTTGCGTCCGTGCTTGCGTGTGTGTGCGTGTGCGTGCGTGCGCCCGTGCGTGTGTGTGTGCGTGTGCGTGCGTGCGTGCGTGTGCGTGCGTGCGTGCGTGCGTGCGTGTGTGTGCGCGTGTGCGCGCACGTTTACGCAATTAACCGATGAGTTCAACTTAAGCCCGCTGGCACGCGTCTCCTGTTCTAACAGCAATTCCCATATAATTAGGCAATAATGATCAAGAAATAGACAGACGTACAGTACGTACTGCTCTAAACGAACGGACCGTAATAAGTACATCATCAACTTTTCATACTACCCGTGCAACGTCATTTCTACGCGTACGCGTGTTTACACGCACCGCGCGTAGTGTAGTTTTGCGTGTAGCACGCAATTAGCAGGGACTTGCGTAATAGCAGCGGATCGTGTTTTACCTTCAGGCTTCATAACGGCGGTCACGTGACGACACACAGTCGATGGGCGGACATTCATCGTCCAGAGCGACTACCGCGGAACGGGCGTCGGCGACGAGCTGTTCCGCCGACGGGCCGAGTTCATCGGCGACGCGCAACTTCGCGTCAACTCCGTCATGTACGCGTCAACGCCAACGCGACGCCTCGGCTTTACCGTCGTCGTTCACGTCAACCTCATGGAGCATCATGTCGACCACGCAAGATGGCGACTCGACCGCCGCTGCCCTCCTGCTCGGCGACGATCCAGCCGTACAGGGACGACATGTACATAATGACGTTCAGCGCTTACGACGCTCAAATAGCCGGTCAGCTGCGCGACGGCTTTCTGAAGCCGTACCTGGCCGCGCACGACAATCGAAGCTACGTCGCCATCGAGGGTCAGTCTAAGATAGTCGGCTATACGACCATCACGCTATGACGGGCTTGTTCAGTTTCGGTTTATTCCCGCTTAGCGCGACGACGCCGCATACAGAGCAAACTTCTGCGTACGATCGTGGCAGACCTGCAGATGGCGCGCCGTCGTTGCCGGTGGGTGGCGACGA